TGCCGGAGGGACGGGACCGGCTCTGGCGTTGGTGCGGCTGCAGGTAATCCCTCTGCCCAAAGGGAGATCTGTGTCAGCACGGGCGGGCTGGGCTGTCGGGGGCATGTGTGTGTGTTTTCACCGAGTGACAATAGCCGTGTTCTGTGCACAGGAAATAGAATGAGGAGGAAGAGACCAGTTCCTGTGGGAAGACATGAAGTATAGCAAATGAAAGTAGAGGGCATTTTTTACTGTGTCCTGAGAGTGTCTGGGGCCTAGCTGGCAGTGGATCAGAGAGACAGGGTGTGCTTTCTTCATATAATTGTTTGGGGTTTTTTTGTATTGTCACGGGTCACAACTGAAATATCTCAAATAACTTACCTGTGCATCGGCTCTATTGACCTGACCACCGCAGCAATTTGTGATACTCTTCACTGCATTTCAAACCCATTCTAGTGATACCAACCAGCATTGTTCCTTAGATTTTTTTGAAAAAAGTTATGATATCTGTGTTAAAAAAGGAGTTAAATCTCAGCTTTTGACCTTGGTGTGTGCTCAATGTGGAAAAGGGTCTGAACATGCAAGCAATATTCCTATTCTGAATGGTTCTGGAAATCTTTCCCATTACTTTTTCAAAACTTGGGACCCGAGTCCCGAACTTGGGTGATTTCTGTTCTGCCACATGTTCAGACTTTGGCAGTCCCTTCTTCCATCTTCTGTCACTTCTCTGTCAAGAACCAGTATGTGTATTGGTCATTTGATTTTTAGGTGTTCTTATTTTGTTTCACAAGCTCAGTTCAGGCAGTGATGTGATGTGATCTGCTCTGCTTTAGAACAACAGCAAAAAGACAACTTCTTTGACTTAAAGGATTAACTACGTATTGTTAAAGTAAGTGAATGTTGGTACAGATTTAGGCAGTTGAATGTAGTTCAATTAAACGTGTCTAGTGATCTACTGTATTAGTGTGTTTTAATTGCAGAGTGAAATTATAAATTTGTAAACTACTCCAGGATTTGTCAGCTTTCTTTGAAAAACTAAATGAAACAAACCATCAATTGTACATTATTTTGATCTTTAACTCCCTTGCTTTTTTGCATGAGTTTCTTGGCCATAGTAGTATTCTAAGGGGAAGTTTTTTAACAGAGTCTGGGAGGAGGATTAACTCCTTTAGGTTGCATATTTTAAGGGAGTGAAGTTGGGATTTAAGTTGTTCTTCCCTGCTTGCTAGGTGGATCACAAGAATGATAGCTCTTTCTTACAGTATTGAGGTTGTGACAGAACAAGGATACAGGCTTACATCTCAAAACACTGCAATTTTGTGTCTATATTTATGATTGTGTCCTCATGTTTTTGAGGTTTCTGTCACTTCGCATTTTGGCCCATGCTCAGCATTGTCTGGGAGCTGTGGAAAGAGCAAAAATCCAGTTTGAGATTAAATAGTCCCGTACTATAACTTGTGCGGTCTTCCCTGTAGATAGGTGTTTAATAACTTACACTTCTAGCAACAATCTTGCATTTGTGTATTTTTAATTATGGTAATGCAGCTCAGTATAAAATTGGCTGGTGCTTTAGCGCTTTTAGGAGAAGTGTGAATGTTGACCACTGAGGAAACTTCTGTACAGAAGAGTTGTACGGAGTTGTGTCCAGTAATTAGTGCAGTTGTACAGTTTTGAAGTCGGCAGATCGCATCTTGTCTGTTTGCCAGACTCGGTCCTTTTTCTGTGTTGCAAAGGCTTTCTCAGAATGAGTGCTTTCCATGCCGCTTGGTGTAGTGTCTAGCTGCTGTGCAGATACTGTGTTCGACATCTGAAAATACATAATTTGGCATTAAGAAAAATCCTTTCATGTACCTGTCTTTGTATAGAAGGAGATTTCCCAGCCCTAGTTGTGCTTCCCTTTTGTCCAGGAGTGTAAGGCTTGATTACGCCTCTTTTTGTGCATAACTATCAACATGCGTTGTAGAATCACTGTAGCTTCATAAGATATGACAAAGGTTTATTTTAGGTTTGATTATTATTTTTTTTTAATTGTCTCAGATGTTTTAGAAATACCTAGTAAAAATATACTTGCAGGCTATGGTTGCTGGACATGAGCATTGTCAAACACTTACTCAAAATAGTGCTTTTTTTCAATGATTGACATCTATTAATGATGTTATTTTGAAGAGATGAGAACTAATTCTCATTTTGCTGTATTGTTTTGAAAATATAAAGCTGAGATTTTAAGGTGTTTATATTTTTCTTTTAATTACCAAATGAAATTCATTGTAATTACTTTCTTTTATTAAGGTATTATACGAAAGCAGTACTAAGGTATTATAAGAAGTCTTTCTCCCCATCCGTTTCATAATTTTAAATACCTAAGTTGTCTTTTGTCACTACCCTTGTGAGTTATTTCTTGCGACAACCTCTTCTCCTTTTTTTTTTTCTTCAGTAATGCCCACATCTATAACCATCTGTACTTTTATTTAGCTCTTTTTTGGTGTCTTAAATAGTCTTGCTGACCCAGTATTTCAGATATGTGTGTTATCTCTGAAAGGAGGATCTACTGAGAATTTTGCTGTTGAAACTGAATACCGTCATCCTTGAAAAACTAATTTTAATATGAAACATGGGATAAGTGCCAGATGGAAATACTCTTTCAGAGGATATGCACTTTTTTAGAAAAAGGGTGTTTGAATAAAATGCTTGTCCATAGTGAGTAGAGAAACTTTGGTCAAATACCTGCAATAATAGAATGAAGTTACGAGAGCTATGTATTATACTGCTGTTACTCAAATCGGCAAGCCACAGAGGAACGTGACTGCTGCGTCGCAAGGTTGCTCATGATTTTCTAGGTTAAAGGAGAGCTGAAATTAATTTCCTGCGAGTGGAATGGATTGGGAGAGGAAAGAGGTTGTGGAATACCCATTTTTCCCTTTGCTTCCTGTCCGTACTGCAGCAAGGAAATGGGACCGGGCAGTGACCAAAGTTCCTGCTGCAACAGAGGGGGGAATAAAGATGGGAAGAGCTGTTCGCCCGTCACCAATGTATACGTGTGTGAGTAAGAGGTTAGTAAATGCCAACCAAGGCATTTATCTTCAGGCACCGCGCTGTTGGAGGTGAATACGGAGGCAGCAAGCCCTAGATCATAACTTTGTGAAATACTTGGTCTTTCCTTAGTTTCTAGCACCTTGTGGTGAGGTTTTTGTGCCGGATGCTGTTTAGACGGCACAGCAGCATGCGTATCTTGTTTATCTTCAGTTAGTAGGTGTTTAGTGTTTTTCAAGGCCTGATGTAACGCCCCCTCCCTTCTTACTGTTGCCCAGTCTGGCAATAGAGATTGCTTTGTTCTTTTTTTGCCCTTTGAATGCACAAAAGATTCTCACAGTTTCCTTCATATGTGAAGAGAGAAGGAGAAGGAGATTTCTACACCAAACCCAAATATATTTTTAGTTTTTCCTTTCCCAGAGTGTTGTATAGGAGTAATATGGATCGCTATGCGTGCGTGTCCTGTCAGGGTGATGATTAGGAGACAGACGGGGAGGGTAAGCTAAGAACAAAAAAAGAAGCTGCTGTACTGAGTCACTAATCCT